CACGGCGTTTTATTCGGCGGACAAGTTTGCTGAGTGCGGGAGAAATGCAGCGGGCTTGAAGGCATCACTCGCATGGCAGTGCGCGACGGAACGTAAGTTCGAGTTACTAGATATTGATCTGGAGGATGGTGGCAAAGAAAACGGGACAGAATTTGTTATTGTGGATCTGGCGGCGATACGCTCGTTATTTGGACTTGTCGCGTGCAGGAGTTGTGACTTTTGCGAAAAGCGTTTTTCGTCCCCACGTATAGGCGACGAGATGGACGCCAAAATAAGGCCGTTTGAAGTTAATATGCATGCCATGAAGACCATCAACAGTATCGGCAAGGGGGCAACGGCTCTTTCGGACTTCTTCGCCGGGATGAATATTTCACATCGAGGACTTCACCACAAGAGTTACCAAAGTCACATGAATATAATGAAAGAGGCATGCTGTGCGACTGCTGCCGAAAGCGAAGCGGGGAGCATTGCTCGCGTCAAGGAGCTCTATGCGGAGTTCGGCAACGCGCCCGGAAACTTCGGCGTCATTTATGATGGCACCTGGGCGTGGATATAGCTCGCATATATGTGTTGGCTGCATTGTTGACATGTATAGTGGCCTCGTGATAGGCCATATCGTGCTATCGAACTTTTGCCTGGCTTGCACCACAGCAACCAAGGAAGAAGAAGCAGGACTTTCTGCCTGGCTCTTTCAGCATGCCACTCTGTGCCAGAAGAATGTTGATTGTAATGCTGGCCAGATGGAAGTGGAGGCAGCACTACGCTTGTTTGAGCGGTCACTTGAAAAGCACAAGCTTCGTTATACGACAATGCTGTCGGACGGCGACAGCAGGACATTCCGTGCACTCACAGAAAAAGAGGTGTACGGCTTCATAAAGGAGGCCAAAAAGGACTGCATAAATCATGTGTACAAGCGTGTCGGAGCTGCCCTACGTACCCTTGTAGAGAAAAAAAAAAAAGCTCAAGGTGGCTCACTTGGTGGAAAGGGCAGACTTACGCAACAAAAGATAAAGAAGATCACCTCATACTATGGCTACGCATTGAGAAGCCACAGGAACGATGTTCCAGATATGCAGAAGGCTGTTCTAGCAACTTTGAACCACATGTCTTCAACTAACGAGGCACCAAAGCATGACCTTTGCCCTGAAGGCCCTGAATCCTGCTGCAAACTTCAGAGAGCTCTTGCCAAATATGAGAAGCCGCCACCACACAAGGACAGCCTGCCCGATTTCGTAACTGAGGCATTGGAGCCTGTGTTTAGGCGGCTGAGCGACAATGCCCTCTTGGAAAGGTGCAGCGATGGGATCACCCAGAACACAAGTGAGAGCCTGCACGCTATTATTTGGCAGCAGGCCCCCAAAACTCGGCATGCATCCTTGCGGAGCATTGAAAGGGCAGTTGCCGAAGCCATCAGCCGCTTCAACCAAGGCACAACCAAGAGCAACGTGGAAATTGCCGAGAAGCTGGGCTACAGCGCTGGCAATAACTTGGTGCGTCGCAGCCTTGAGAAGGACAAGGGCAGGCTGCAAAATTCGTGAAGAGAGCATCTTGACAGCAGCTCAATAAAGGAAAGACTTTCAAAGCGTCACAAGCCAGCAGGGGACTTCGCTTACAGCCCTGGTCTGCTGTAAACAGTCATGATGGCAAATAGTGAGAATTTTTGCAAAACTAAATATTCTTGGTTTTAGACCTAAACATTGTGTAAATCTATTGTCTATCCAAGGAACCTGCGATACAGTAGTGGTGCAGGCTCTTCTCTTCTCACAATATGTCTATCCAAGGACAACATTATTACATGATTTTTTTGTGTTCCTTTCACTTGCAAGGCAATGGAACGACCACAAGGTAAAAAAATAATTCTCGTGCTGAGTCAATGACTATTTTATAGTTCTAGAACAAGCTGTGAGCGGTATTCTGGGTGGGTACAGTGAAATTTAGCATGGCCATTTATCCTATAATATAGAGCTACAGAATGATGTCATTAATATCGCTGTAGCTTCACTTTAGCAAAAGTTAAAGTTGCTAGAAACCTCAAACACGTTTTCTCAGTTCGATGTTTTGCACTCGGCCTTACGGGATGTTTTTGCACATTGCACTCGGCCTTACGAGGGTTTTTCCTATGTTAAACTTGAGTGAATGCGACAAAGTTAGTATCATTTTATTCGTCTTGACATGATCTAGGGGGTGATGCTATTTCTACTTCTTTAGCATCACTTCAAAAATTACCATTGAAGATTTTAGTGAGAGAAATTTATTGTATTATAGTGACCATAGGTGTTCGTCCGTTTTCTTGCTTATAAAATGCCTTCAAATGGATAAAAATAGCATCACCCCCTACAGCAAGTCTCCATCATTGGTGTTATGCATTCACTTTTTGGATTTAGCAAGAATAAATTGCCAAGAAGTCCCGTAAGAAGTACGCAATTAAGATTCAGACCTTCATGTTTTCTAAACCACTTGAAATATTAAGAAACAAATTGGAGATTTGAAATCAGCATAAAAAACTAGCTTCGGTAGTGAAGTTTGGTTAAGATTGAGCAAAAAATAAAAAAACATTTTAGAACCCACGTCCCCCCTTAATCAGTCCTTAGCCCCATGGGAAACCCCAAAAGCCTCTCTACTGTTCGTTCACCCCATATCTCGTCACAATAATACTGCCCGCCAGTTTCTTGCCACGCGACAACTTAGGGAAGCGAGCTTAGATACCATCGACATATACACGGACGCTGCTTTTTCCGATGGCGAAGCTTGTATAGCATGGATCTGCGCGCAGACCACCGAGTACACTGGGGCCTACAGGTGCCATCTACCGAACAGTACCCCTATGTATGCCGAACTACTTGCCATATGGGGAGCGACTGCAAGCCTCCCATACACTGCACAGAAACCCCTTCGTATCTTTACCAACTTGCACACTGCCTACTCGGAAATATTTCGCCCAGTGTAGGAGGATGCTACAGCTGCTGCTATTCAAAGCATCATATGTAGGCATGAAAAAGCTGACAGGCCAATAGAAATTATCTGGAGGCCGGTGCATACGGGTGTGCCCGGGGAAAATACGGTGGCATACGCCGCTGCTGTTTCCGCAGGTGGGTCGACCAATCTTTTTCTGCCCCCATCCCTCAGGGTGAACTCGTATGAGCTTTCAAATCAAATTGCTCTCTCGGTAGCCGCAATGCACTATGTACGCACGTCCCTGCGTCATGCTAGTAAAACGTGCATTGTGCAGGTTACTTCACCAGTCCTATTTTTTCCAGCAAATGTCCGCTTTCACGCTCCCAATAAGTCTTCATTAATAAGGTCTATGCAAATTCTCCATACACACCGTACTCTTTAGCAAAATGGTGACAACTGGACATTGTGACAGTGACATGCAATCACTGCGGAATGCAGAATGCAGGAACAGCGCAAAGAAAAAGTAGTTACTTCGTAACTATGGAAGCGAAAAAAAAAAAAAACAAGGACACTTCCGTAGTTACGAAGTAACTACTTCTACTTTGCGCTGTTCCTGCATTCAGTTATGTCCTACCAACGTGCCCAAGCTTCTACAATTCATAATATCACTGCGGGCTGCGCTGCGGCGCAGACCTTCACCACTTACTGTGGCAGTGTTCCGCATTTGATAAAGGGCGAATGGCCATACAAGCGTTGCAAACCACAAATTATCGTGAAGCGCTCCTTACGGATACCGGACACGCAGTTATTATTTGCCCAATATGGAAGTCAGAGCGGCCTGATCAGATTGGTTTAGGGGGTCCAACAAACCACAGTACTGACCCTATACCGCCTCAGTACCAGTGATGGTGAATACAAGTGTAAAACCCGTGACACTGTGAACTAGTAGTGTAGTTAGAAAGTCCTGCTTATCCCCACAGAGGTCATGTGCCTCCCCCCCCCCCCCCGCCTTTTTTTTTTCTTTTTTCAATAAAGGACTTTCTATCCATAAGATTGCCCTAGTTTTTTTGTATTTTATTTAGCCCTTATGGGTCTGTTTTCAGTGCACAGAGTTTTCTAAGCAGCCATAACGGTCATGGAGTTTGCTTCAAGTCATAATGGAAAACCTGAAAAAGTCGGGGAGTTTTCAAAAAGTGAAATAGTACCCTGACCCTACATGGTGCGAAAAATACCGAAACTACCTTCCAGTTGGAAACCGTGGTGAATAGGTCATTAGTGAAGCACTCTATACAGTGGCCGACAAATTTTTCAAACTAGTTGGATACTTCGGACTTCACAAATGCAACGTCAAGGTTCTCATTGTAGCAATGCATTTTCGTAGCCGATTTTCGAACAATTTTTTATGTACCAAGGTTTGATTTTCCCGCACAAAATCGGCAGTATTTAGTTATGCCGCTCTATTTTGAAAGCTGCCCTGTTGAATTTGTCGTTGGATTTGTTGGGTTTGGCTCGCTGTTGTGGACTTCAAGATTGGAAGCGCGCACTATCTTCCAGTTTCAGAGGCCATGTCTGATTTTTTTTGGCTGGCAAAACTGCAATCGATCGAGGTGCGATCGTGGCCGGGGCGGTAGCGTTTTGATAGTGGCAAAATGCTAAAGGCTGACGTACTTCGTGATGTCGGTACAGGTAAAAGAAGCCCAGACCGTGTTGTTAAGTTCCACCAAACAGGCGAGAAGTTGCATGCACCTTTTTGCAACTGGCGTCAAGTTTTATTTTGCGTGGTTCTGTGGAGCCACCAATTTCGCCGCCTGCAATGGTCAGCAGCAGTGATTGCCAACACCATTACCAGCGACGTTACCGTAGCCCAAATAGAACCAAATTTGCTTGTCCCCAATACAGCATGGATCACGGCATTATTTTGGATTTTTGTTTTTTAGGCTTTTCTAATCTGAATAAACTTCATATTCACGGCTTGACCATTTTTTCGGACTGTTCGTTTTTTCAGACTGTTTCGCAGTCCCGGTCAGGTCTGAAAAATGAGTTAGCGACTGTAGTCATCTTTGCATAGCTTGTCCCTGAGCGTGCTTTGCCTTCAATTCTGCCAGGTGCTGACGGCAAGAAGGACAAGAAGGATGAAGTGACAGCGCCAGCCACGGGCGCAGCTGCAGCGGCCCCATCGGCTGGGTCCAAAAGTGAAGTGCCGGCGACCAAGGCCTGATAGTGGAGCATGAGCAGAAGCAGCAGCTCCTTCCGGAGTGGAGGCAGCTCGGGAAGAGCGGTGCACGACTTGCACGTACTAGCACAGTATTTAACAACCCTCTGCCCAGGAAAACCCCCCATCACTGCTAGTGTATGAGTAATGCCTGTAGCACTTGCTTAAGCTTTCCATCTTTTCTGGTGTCTTGTGTGCTTCTCTTTCCAGGACAGCAGGCAAAACTTTTTTCAACAGACAAGTGAGGCCAGCAGAAGTGCTCATTCCAACCTGCCCTTCTCCATTTTCCTCTCCCTGCTTTTCTTTATCACTGGGGATTCAAAATTGACAGCAGTGCTGTATTCGTCCTTCATAAGAGTCTGCTTGCTAACCAGCAGCACATTTTTGTTGTTGTTGATACTGCTTTGCTTTTCACTTGTTTTCATTTTTGACACACCTTATCTTCATTTTTGCCTTTCATTTGTGGCAAGTACGGTTTAGGTGGAATTGAGTAAAGGAAAGAAATGAAATGGTACCTTTACTATGAAATGCTATTCAACACAAAAAAAAAAATTGTGGCAGTTTTGAATTTGGCAGTGATGGATGGTGTGTAGGACAATTTTGTGCTGGGCATGAATAAAGATTTGCCATTGTGGACAGTTTCTAATTGTGAATACATTGTGTACCTTGCTTTTTTTTAAGCCCTATGATGAGGCTTGGCAGTTGATGCTCTTGGCCAGTTCACAAATCATGTGTGTCCTGTCCCCAGAACACATGGCATTTTTGCACTGGAAATATTTTGCTTCAAAAAAAATGTCTCTTGGGCCATATTGTATTTACTCGCGTAATGATCGCACCCTTAAATTTTGTCGTGTAAATTCGACTTTTTTCCCCCCGCGTAATGATCGCACCATGAACTTGCCGCATCGACATGTTATGTGCCAAGTCTAGCTGAACGCGCCTATCATTGTTTCTGTGATTTGAAAGCGGGCGTCACTATGCAAATGCTGTAAATTAACTGATTTGAATGAAAGCATTCTTTATTTAGATGGAAGAAACTGTTTTGACGTGCGTGACGTACTCACAACCTCCATAACTGACGCAAAGAAAAAAAAATCCGGTGGCTTCGATCCGTCAGCCGCCATGTTTGTTTTGACATCCCGCACTGTTACAGCGGCAGCCGCGTGTTGGTCGACCTGTGTTCATCTCGCAGCAATGTTTTTTTTTTTCCTGAGACCTCGTTTTTTGTGTGTGCTTTGTGATCGTCTGCTAAAGCGCCGTTTCACCATGGGGCGGTATGCGAGCTTTACTGCCGCGTTCAAGCTGAAGGCGCTAGACTACGCGCTAGAGCACGGCAACCGCGCTGCCAGCAGTCATTTCGGCGTCGATGAAATCCGGATCCGATATTGGAAAAAAAAGCGTGACATGCTCATGGTCACTAACAGCATGCGAGGGCTTTCCGCGGACCCAAATCTGGCAAGTTCCCTGACATTGAAAAGGCAGTTCTCGAATACGTGAAGGACATGTGTAAGGACAATTATGCAGTGTCATTAGACATAATACAGACGCAGGCGTGCACAGTTTCCTGGACGCTGTGAATAGTTACAAAGTACTTCCGTGCCAGTTCTGGCTGGACCACATGCTTCATGCGGCAGAATGGACTGTCGCTAGCATTTCCAACGCGCTCGACAGAACGGAAGATAAGATGAACCTCTGTGGGACAGTGAAGACATTGCCGGTTGCGACAGGGAATCCTGCGGCGGCGACACTGACGCCAGTGATGCTACGGAGTCTGAACGTTAGGGGGTCAGAGAGGTAAGAAATAAAAGGGCAGTGTGCCATGCATGTAGCTCCTGCGTAACGCGTGCATTTTATTACAAAGGTGAGCCTTAATTTACTTCTATTTTTGTTTATGTTCATGATAGCTACCGAAACCCCCGAACGCAGAGATGTTACTTGACTCGTACTTCACTGGTTCTTGACTCAAGACAGTCTTGCCGGTCACCATGAATCGTTCTCGAGTATGACTTGAAGGCGAGATGGCTTGGTCAAAGTCGGGACAAGTTTCAAGTCAGCTGCGGAGCTAGCTTGAAAGCGACTTCATGCGTTATTCCAACATGGCCACCTCTAGAATGGATGTCGCGCGGAGGGTGGCCGCTTTTGAGTTTGCTTGCCTCGCCATAAGCGTAGCATTTTCTGAGGCGCACTGCCTGGCGAAGATTCTTGGACCCGCTTTACGTAACCGTGGGAATTCGATGGAGTTGTACGACGAGGAACAATTCCACGCTCGATACAGATTCACGAAGAACGCCGTGCAGCAGCTACTGGGTATGTTGCCACTCTGTGAAAGTGGGGACAACGGCCTGTGCCCCCAGTGTTACAGCTACTGATGGCTCTCGGGTTTTACGGCGCTGGCACATTCCAGTCACCGGGAATCTCGTCCGCATTCCGTAGTCGACAGTTTGCGATGCTGTAGGAAAAGTTACGCTACTCGTCGCAAAGCACCTGTACGCAATGCTGGTGCGCATTCCGCAGCCGGCAGCACTTTCTATAGTTATGCGGGACTTCTATGAAGTGGCTGAGTTCCCAGGTGTTATAGGCTGTGTCCACTACACACACGTGCGTATTAATAGCTTCGGTGGGGACGACGCCGAAGTGTTCCGTAATCGCAACGGCCATTTCTGTTTTTCTTCAACGCGACAATTTCCGCCTCTTTCGGTGCAAAATTGACTCGGTGCTGTGTCTGTGTGCCTCGTCTATCCTTTCGTCCCGTCTAGGGCGCCGTTTCTCGCCCAGAAAGGCATCGCTTGTAGCACGACGCTACGTAAAATTCCACACACACAAAAAAAGAGGCGCCCCTATCACGGTTTTTTTTTATCCGCGTCGCCATGATGCAGCGAGACACTGCTGCACCCCGCGAGAGAGAATTCTGCTGAGGGCAATGTCCTGACCCCCGCTTTTTCTCTTGTTTACCAAGCTCAACAAAAGGATATGAATCACATTTGTTCCCAGAACTTGCGTTTTTTTTTTTTTTTTTCATGATAACTGCGACCTAGCCCATTACAGGCATGCACACAGGCGAACAGAAAGGCAACTACCGTGAAAATCGCGTCACCTCGTGAGCCAGGCCAGCACAAATACATGCCGTGGCGTTCGATTAAACAAAAAGACGAAAGAACCCAACGCGATGCTTGTTTCGCCTCCAAACAAGCAACCGTGGAGAAACGCGCCGCATTTGGGTGGCCACTAGAACCAGCGGGCAACGAACGCTTTACAGAAGCAACACTGCGCATCGCTGTGGCGGCAGGCACCACGTGCCGCTCGTTAGCCGTAAAATGGCAAGAATATGCTTGTGACCCTTCGTTTTTATAGTTATTTTAAAACGTATGGTTTTTTTTTTTTTGCTGTAATGCATGCCTTACGCGAACAACTTCATTATTACCTTCGTTAGCAGGCGTGCAGCGTGTTCCTGCTTTGGAGCTTGTTCTCGACTTGACCAAGCAAGACAGCCTGACCCCCGAATGCAGAGTTGTGTGATAAGATTAGTTTGCCGTTCCGGCGCCCGGCGGCGTCGATGTTGCAAGGAAATAAATACGGTGCACATGACCAGCCAGTCAGTGTGGAACCCGCCAACGTACGTGTGTGTGATTCGGTCCAGCGACCGGCATGGCTCAGGACTATCCGGTTATCACAAGTGGCGACGAGGTCGACTGACGAACCGGACGGGCACAGCACAATCACACGTCGTCATGCCTGTCGTCGGGAAGCTGGATCCGTTCGACCCGAGTACATCGGAGTGGGCGGAATACCGTGAGCGGGCCGAGCTGTACATCGCGAACGACATCCCGAGCGACAGACAGACAGCCGTATTTTTGACATGCTGCGGTCCAGAGACTTATTCTCTGCTACGAGGCCTCCTAGCACCAAGCAGGATTGAGGAACTTTTTGCGCGACTTACAGGGGGCAAGAAGTTCACAAAGCTTGACTTGCAAGATGCCTACCAGCAGGTTCCACTCGATGAGGAGTGCCAATAGCTAGTCACCATTAACACTTCGAAGGGGTTATACCAATTCACAAGGCTGCCGTTCGGGGTTTCATCAGCTCCGGCTATATTTCAGCGAGAGATGGAAAATCTGTTGCACGACCTTGACAATGTCGTAGTGTACTTTGATGATATTCTGGTCACAGGAACCAGTGACAAAGAGCATTGGGAAAATTTGGGCCGAGTGTTGGATCGCCTGAAGACCGCGGGACTGCGACTGAAGTTATCCAAATGCGAATTCATGAAACCAGAAGTCCAGTACTTGGGCCATACCATTAGTGCGGCTGGGCTGCGTCCAAAGCCGGCTAAGACTGAAGCAGTGCTGGAAGCCCCCGCACCCCGAGTGGTCAAGGAACTTCAGAGTTACCTCGGGTTGGTTAATTTTTACAAAAGGTTTTTGCCGAACCTTTCTGCCGTATTACAGCCGCTCAATAGTTTGTTGGCGTCGGGAACACCATGGCGCTGGGAAACTGATGAAAAGCAGGCGTTTCGGAGAAGCAAGGAGCTATTGGCCTCTGCTGCTATATTGGCGCACTTTGACCCAGGAAAGCCCACTGTGGTTGTCACTGATGCATCTCCCTTCGGGATTGGAGCAGTACTGGCGCAACGAGAGTCATCTGGAGAAGAGCGCCCCATTGGTTTTGCCTCCCGAAGCCTGGCAACCGCGGAGAAAAACTACAGCCAATTAGATAAGGAGGCATTGAGCCTTGTATTTGGCGTTACAAAGTTCAGGCAGTACTTATGGGGCCGGCAATTCGAAGTCGTCACAGATTACAAACCGCTGCTCGGCTTGCTCGCAGTAGACAAGCCAGTTCCCGAATCCTGTTCTCCGAGAGTGCTAAGGTGGGCCTTGCTGTTGTCGGGGTACAGTTACGACCTGAAGTATAGGCCGGGTTCACAAATTGCACATGCTGATGGGTTAAGCCGGCTACCTCTGCTAGCTGCCGAATTTGTTGTTGACTGCCCTGCCGAAGTGTTGATGCTGGAAGGAGTATACCCAGGGGTGCTGTCGTCAAATGCTGTTGCGGCAGCCACCCCCGGAGACCCGGTGCTGTCACAAGTAAGAGCAGCGTTGTGGTCAGGCTGCCAGATAAACCTAGGGTCAGAGGAAAGACCCTACGAGACGCGCTTTCATGAGATGAGCGTGCAAGGGAACATTCTATTGTGGGGCAACAGAGTCATTGTTCCAAAATCCTTGCAAAAGGAAGTCCTCCAGCTGCAGCATGAGTCATCCAGGACTGTCCAAAATGAAGGCAGTTGCGCGTAGCCATGTGTGGTGGCCTAGCCTGGATAACGATATAGCGATAACCATTCAAAGGTGCCGTATTTGCCAGGAGCATCAAAGAGTGTCACGACCAGTGCCTGTCATGCCCTGGCCGTTCCCGGAGAAACCGTGGTCACGGCTGCATGTGGACTATGCCGGTCCTTACAGGAACACCTATTTTTTTTATCGCAGTTGATGCGTTTTCGAAGTGGATTGAAGTGTTCCCAGTCTCTACACCCTCGGCGGAAGCAACTATTTCCTGCATGCGCAGTATGTTCGCAAACCAAGGCCTTCCAGATGTGGTCGTGTCAGATAATGGGCCAGCATTTACCAGTGAGCTTTACTCCACATTCCTCAAGAAAAACGGG